TCCTCCTTTCCTCTTCCCTTCCTCCCTTTTCCTTCCCTCCTTTTCTTCCTCCTTCCTTTTCTCTATCCCTTCCTCTTTCTCTCCTTCCTTCCCTTTTTTCTTTCCTTTTCTCCTTCCTCCTCTTCCTCTTCCCTTCCCTCCCCTTTTCTCTATCCCTTCCTCTTTCTCTCCTTCCTTCCCTTTTTTCTTTCCTTTTCTCCTTCCTCCTCTTCCTCTTCCCTTCCCTCCCCTTTTCTCTATCCCTTCCTCTTTCTCTCCTTCCTTCCCTTTTTTCTTTCCTTTTCTCCTTCCTCCTCTTCCTCTTCCCTTCCCTCCCCTTTTCTCTATCCCTTCCTCTTTCTCTCCTTCCTTCCCTTTTTTCTTTCCTTTTCTCCTTCCTCCTCTTCCTCTTCCCTTCCCTCCCCTTTTCTCTATCCCTTCCTCTTTCTCTCCTTCCTTCCCTTTTTTCTTTCCTTTTCTCCTTCCTCCTCTTCCTCTTCCCTTCCCTCCCCTTTTCTCTATCCCTTCCTCTTTCTCTCCTTCCTTCCCTTTTTTCTTTCCTTTTCTCCTTCCTCCTCTTCCTCTTCCCTTCCCTCCCCTTTTCTCTATCCCTTCCTCTTTCTCTCCTTCCTTCCCTTTTTTCTTTCCTTTTCTCCTTCCTCCTCTTCCTCTTCCCTTCCCTCCCCTTTTCTCTATCCCTTCCTCTTTCTCTCCTTCCTTCCCTTTTTTCTTTCCTTTTCTCCTTCCTCCTCTTCCTCTTCCCTTCCCTCCCCTTTTCTCTATCCCTTCCTCTTTCTCTCCTTCCTTCCCTTTTTTCTTTCCTTTTCTCCTTCCTCCTCTTCCTCTTCCCTTCCCTCCCCTTTTCTCTATCCCTTCCTCTTTCTCTCCTTCCTTCCCTTTTTTCTTTCCTTTTCTCCTTCCTCCTCTTCCTCTTCCCTTCCCTCCCCTTTTCTCTATCCCTTCCTCTTTCTCTCCTTCCTTCCCTTTTTTCTTTCCTTTTCTCCTTCCTCCTCTTCCTCTTCCCTTCCCTCCCCTTTTCTCTATCCCTTCCTCTTTCTCTCCTTCCTTCCCTTTTTTCTTTCCTTTTCTCCTTCCTCCTCTTCCTCTTCCCTTCCCTCCCCTTTTCTCTATCCCTTCCTCTTTCTCTCCTTCCTTCCCTTTTTTCTTTCCTTTTCTCCTTCCTCCTCTTCCTCTTCCCTTCCCTCCCCTTTTCTCTATCCCTTCCTCTTTCTCTCCTTCCTTCCCTTTTTTCTTTCCTTTTCTCCTTCCTCCTCTTCCTCTTCCCTTCCCTCCCCTTTTCTCTATCCCTTCCTCTTTCTCTCCTTCCTTCCCTTTTTTCTTTCCTTTTCTCCTTCCTCCTCTTCCTCTTCCCTTCCCTCCCCTTTTCTCTATCCCTTCCTCTTTCTCTCCTTCCTTCCCTTTTTTCTTTCCTTTTCTCCTTCCTCCTCTTCCTCTTCCCTTCCCTCCCCTTTTCTCTATCCCTTCCTCTTTCTCTCCTTCCTTCCCTTTTTTCTTTCCTTTTCTCCTTCCTCCTCTTCCTCTTCCCTTCCCTCCCCTTTTCTCTATCCCTTCCTCTTTCTCTCCTTCCTTCCCTTTTTTCTTTCCTTTTCTCCTTCCTCCTCTTCCTCTTCCCTTCCCTCCCCTTTTCTCTATCCCTTCCTCTTTCTCTCCTTCCTTCCTTTTTTCTTTCCTTTTCTCCTTCCTCCTCTTCCTCTTCCCTTCCCTCCCCTTTTCTCTATCCCTTCCTCTTTCTCTCCTTCCTTCCTTCCCTACCTATTATTGGACTGCAACTCCCAGTAGTCCTCCTGATCAATCTATCAACCTACCTATCTATATCTAATCTGTCAATCTACCTGGAGGATTACTGGGAGTTGCAGTCCAGGAATAGGAAATTGGAAACATGCATAGATTGGAATGCTCTCAAAGAAAGCTTGCAGCTTGGAAGCAGTGCATTTGGATCTTCCTCCTCTCCTAAAGGGCCCAGTCTAGGGGATGCTGGGAGCTGTAGTCTAGAAGAGAGTGTGGATATGCTATTGTGTGTTTTGTTTGCCGAGGGAGTCGTTTTTCCACATGCGCTGTAGTATCTTTTACCTTTTTTGGTTATTTAAGTCCCTTCTACTATGTTTTTCAGTGCTTTTATGAATAATGGTCCCTTGTTGGCCTGATACGTGTCTTGTGTCCAAATTGGGTGTTAATTCGTCCAGTGGTTTTTGAGTTATGTTGATCCCACAAACGAACATTACATTTTTATTTATATACTAGCCACCCCCTGCCACGTGTTGCTGTGGCCCAGTCTGTTGATCTGGAAAATAAAGTAATGCGAAAGTGTTGTTTTCTAATATATGTAATTTCTTTCTGCTTGTGGGTAAACAGTATTTCTTGCTCTTTCTTTGTCAGTGTTGATGTGGAGAGTGTCTGGTTTGCCTACTCTGGAACATGCAACATATCATTGTCCTTCTTTAGGAGTCCCTTTCAAATCTATAATACTTTATCTGTGTGTGTGTGAATATCTATCTATATCTATGGCTGGATGGCTCTTCATCAGGAGGGCTTTGATTATGTTTTCTTCCCCTCGTGAAGGGAGTTGGATGTGTTTTCTGTGGTCATGGGGATTCTATGTGGGAAGTTTGCCCCAATTCTGTCATTCGTGGGGTTCAGAATGCTCCTTGATTGTAGGTGAACTATAAATCCCAGTAACTACAACTCCCAAATGTCAAGGTCTATTTCCCCAAACTCCATCTGTGTTCATATTTGAGCATATGGAGCATTCATGCCAAGTTTGGTCCAGATCCATCATTGTTTGAGTTCACAGTGCTCTCTGGATGTAGGTGAACTACAACTCTCAAACTCAAGGTCAATGCCCACTACACCCTTCTAGTGTTTTCTGTTGGTTATGGGAGCACTATCTGCCAAGATTTGTTCAATTCTATCATTGGCAGAGTTCAGAATGCTCTTTGATAGTAGGTTAATTATAAATCCCAGCAACTACAACTTCCAAATGACAAACTCAATTTTTTTGAGTGAAGGACATACATTGGGTTGTTAGGTGCCTTGTCTCCAAATTTGGTGTCAATTCCCCCAATGGTTTTTGAGTTATGTTAATCTCACAAACAAACATTACATTTTTATTTATATAGACTAGCCGTCCCCTGCCACACGTTACTGTGGCCCAGTCTGTGTATATGTGCTTTGTGTGTGTATATGTGTCTGTATATATTTGTGTATATGTGTACATATGTGTGTTTACGTATATATGTGTGGTTTTGTGCATGCATTGTAATGTATTTTATCTTTTGGCTATTTATGTCTCTTCTGCTGTGTATTTCAGTGGACTGATACATGTATTGTGTCCAAATTTGGTATCAATTTGTGAAATGGTTTTTGAGTTATGTTAATCTCACAAATGAACATTATATTTTTATTTATATAGACTAGCCATCCCCTGCGATGTGTTGCTGTGGCCCAGTCTATGTATATGTGTTTTGCGTGTGTATATGTGTGTGTTTTAATGAGTGATGGCCACTCGTTGGCCTGAGAGGTGTCTTGTGTCCAAATTTGGTGTCAATTCGTCCAGTGGTTTTTGAGTTATGTAAATCCCACAAATGAAAATTACATTTCTATCTATCTATCTATCTATCTATCTATCTATCTATCTATCTATCTATCTATCTATCTATCTTGGGATGGAAATGATGAATTAGTGATTAGCTTGTTTAAAGTCATCCGATCAGCTTATTGATTTGGATGGGAGCCAATGGGATTTTGGCCTGCATCAATAGGAGCATAGTATCTAGATCCAGGAAGTCATGCTCCCCATGCTCTATTCCACTTTGGTTAGACCACACCTGGAATATTGTGTCCAATTCTGGGCACCACAATTGAAGGGAGAGGTTGACAAGCTGGAATGTGTCCAGAGGAGGGCGACTCAAATGATCAAGGGTCTGGAGAACAAGCCCTATGAAGAGCGGCTTAAGGAGCTGGGCATGTTTAGCCTGAAGAAGAGAAGGCTGAGAGGAGATATGATAGCCATGTATAAATATGTGAGAGGAAGCCACAGGGAGGAGGGAGCAAGCTTGTTTTCTGCTTCCTTGGAGACTAGGATGCGAAACAATGGCTTCAAACTACAAGAGAGGAGATTCCATCTGAACACGAGGAAGAACTTCCTGACTGTGAGAGCCGTTCAGCAGTGGAACTCTCTGCCCCGGAGTGTGGTGGAGGCTCCTTCTTTGGAAGCTTTTAAACAGAGGCTGGATGGCCATCTGTCAGGGGTGATTTGAATGCAATATTCCTGCTTCTTGGCAGAATGGGGTTGGACTGGATGAAGGCCCAGGAGGTCTCTTCCAACTCTAGAATTCTATGATTCTCTTGAGAGGAGATTCCATCTGAACATTAGGAAGAATTTCCTGACTGTGAGAGTCGTTCAGCAGTGGAACTCTCTGCCCCGGAGGAGTGTGGTGGAGGCTCCTTCTTTGGAAGCTTTTAAACAGAGGCTGGATGGCCATCTGTCAGGGGTGCTTTGAATGCAATATTCCTGCTTCTTGGCAGAAGGGGGTTGGACTGGATGATGGCCCAGGAGGGCTCTTCCAACTCTTTGATTCTAGAATTCTATACAGCCAAGAAAGGACATTCCACCTGAACATTAGGAAGAACTTCCTGACTGTGAGAGAGCTGTTCAGCAGTGGAACTCTCTGCCCGAGGGTGGTGGAGGCTCCTTCTTTGGAGGCTTTTAAACAGAGGCTGGATGGCCATCTGTCAGGGGTGCTTTGAATGCAATATTCCTGCTTCTTGGCAGAATGGGGTTGGACTGGATGGCCCAGGAGGTCTCTTCCAACTCTAGGATTCTATGAATGTAGGTCACCTGGGAAATACATGTTCTAGGTTAAGAAGACCCTTGAAATGTGGAAGGAAGATTTTGCTCAATGCGCTGTGAATGTGATTATGTGAGTCCTCTTGTCCTTTGATAGTGCTAATAACCATCCTGCTTCTGTCTTTTTTGTCATTTTATTTTCTTTTTCTTGCAGGCATTTCAGACGTAATTGAGACATGTAAGTCTTTTCAAAAGTATACCTAGAAATGTTGTGTTAATAGAGGCAAAACTTGATCCTTGGGAATGGAGGGATCAATCGGGGATGACTTTCTCCCATGTTCAGATTTCCCAGTGCCGATGTTCATGATTCTTAAAGAAAAAAACACCACTAATTATATATCCCATTAAGAAGAGTCATCAGAGCAAAGCAGAGAACCTTTTAAGACTTGGTTCCGTATATACTCGGGAATAAGCCGACCTGAATATAAGTTGAGGCACTTAATCTTACCACAAAAAAACTGGGAAGACAAATTGACTCGAGTATAAGCCGAGGGTGGGAAATGCAGCCGCTACGGGTAGATTTCAAAATTTTATTATTTATTTATTATTTACTTTGCTTCTATACCGCTGTATCTCAAGCCCGAAGGCGACTCACAGCGGTTCACAAACAGTAGAAACAGTAGAAACAGCAGTGGTTCCATACAACATATAACAATTGACTTAACACATTATCCATAAATTACCAATAAGCAATTACAATGCACAATTATTACAAAAAACAACCGTACCCAATCTTCTCATCATCCAAGCGTAGTCCAGGTTCGTCGTCCATTGTTCCATTCCTATGTTCCATTACCAGATTGCACTAAATTACTCAAACGCCTGCACAAACATCCAGGTCTTCACCTTTTTGCAGAATACCATTAGAGATGGTGCTAGTCTAATGTCCGTAGGAAGGGCGTTCCACAGCCGAGGAGCCACCACCGAGAAGGCCCTATCTCTCGTCCCCGCCAGCCGAGCTTGAGAAGCAGGCGGGATCGAGAGCAGGGTCTCCCCGGAAGATCTCAAATTCCTGGCGGGTTCATAGGCAGAGATGCGGTCAGATAGGTAGCTTGGGCCGGAACCGTTTAGGGCTTTAAAGGCCAACGCCAGCACTTTGAATAGCCCGGTAGCAAATCGGTAGCCAGTGGAGTTGGCGCAACAGGGGGGTTGTATGCTCCCTGCGCTCCGCTCCTGTTAAAATCATGGCTGCCGAGCGTTGGACTAGTTGGAGCTTCCGAGCTGTCTTCAAAGGCAACCCCACGTAGAGAGCGTTGCAGTAGTCTAAGCGGGATGTAACCAGAGCGTGGACTACCGTGGCCAAGTCAGACTTCCCAAGGTACGGGCGCAGCTGGCGCACAAGCTTTCGCTGTGCAAATGCTCCCCTGGTCACCGCCGAAACCTGGGGTTCCAGGCTCAGCGATGAGTCCAGGGTCACACCCAAGCTGCGAACCTGCGTCTTCAGGGGGAGTGCAGCCCCATCCAACACAGGCTGTAACCCTATACTCTGATCAGCCTTTCGAACTGACCAGGAGTACCTCTGTCTTGTCTGGATTCAATTTCAATTTGTTCGCCCTCATCCAGACCGTCACAGCGGCCAGGCACCGGTTCAAGCCGAGGGTGGGAAATGCAGCCGCTACGGGTAGATTTCAAAATAGAAATAGATACCAATAAAATGACATTAATGGAGGCGTCAGTAAGTTAAATGTTTTTGAATATTTACATAAAACTAATTTAAGATAAGACTGTCCAACTCTGATGAAACCATTATTCTCACCTTCTTCAATGTAAATGTGCTTATGTATCCTTCCAATAATAATAGAGTAAAATAATACATGTAAAATAATAATAATAATAATAATAACAATAATAATAATAAAGTAGAATAATGGAAACGCAATAATAACAGTGATAATAGAGTAAAATAATGGAAAAATAATAATAGAATAAAATCATAAAGGTAATAATAACAATTATAAAAGAGTGAAACAATAATAATAATAATAATAATAATAATAATAAATAGAGTAAAATAATGGAAATGTAGTAATAACAATAATAAAGTAAAATAATAAATGCAATAATTAAAATAGAGTAAAATAATAAATACAACAACAACAATAATAATAATAATAATAGAGTAAAATAATGGAAACGTAACAATAACATTGATAATAGAGTAAAATCATACAGGTAATAATAACAATTATAATAGAGTAAAACAATAAATATAATGATAATAAATAGAGTAAAATAATGGAAATGTAGTAATAACAATAATAAAGTAAAATAATAAATGCAATAATTAAAATAGAGTAAAATAATAAATGCAATAATAATAATAATAATAATAATAATAGAGTAAAATAATGGAAACGTAATAATAACATTGATAATAGAGTAAAATCATACAGGTAATAATAACAATTATAATAGAGTAAAACAATAAATATAATAATAATAAATAGAGTAAAATAATGGAAATGTAGTAATAACAATAATAAAGTAAAATAATAAATGCAATAATTAAAATAGAGTAAAATAATAAATGCAATAATAATAATAATAATAGAGTAAAATAATGGAAACGTAATAATAACATTGATAATAGAGTAAAATCATACAGGTAATAATAACAATTATAATAGAGTAAAACAATAAATATAATAATAATAAATAGAGTAAAATAATAACAATAGAGTAAAATAAGGTAGTAATAACAATAATACAGTAAAATAATAAATGCAATAATAAAATAGGGTAAAATAATAAATGTAATAACAATTATAATAGAGTAAAACAATAAATGTAATAATAATAATAAATAGTGTAAAATAATGTAAAGGAAGTAGCAATAATAATAAAGTAAAATAATAAATGCAATAATAATAAGTAAAATAATCAATGTAATTATAATTATAATAATGTAAAATAATGTAAATGTAATAATAATAATAATAATAGAGTAAAATATTAAATGTAATAATAATAATAATAATAATAATAATAATAATAACGAGAGAGAGGGCCTTCTCGGTGGTGACCCCCCGGCTGTGGAACACCCTCCCTGTTGACGACAGACAGGCCCTCCCTTATGGCTTTCCATAAAAGCCTAAAGACCTGGCTATTTGAAAAGGCATTTAACTGAGTGCTACATTGACTGGTAAGGACAACTGGAACGGTATACGGATTACGAGATTGGTTATTATTCTATGTTGTGACGATGCGGATTAGCTAGTGTAATTTAGATTAATGTGTATTATTGATATGTTGATTTCTTGTTGTGCCTTATTGTAAACTGTTTTTATATGTTGTACACCGCCGCGAGTCGCCCTAGGGCTGAGAGCGGCGGTCAACAAATGCAGCAAATAAATAAATAAATAAATAAATAAATAAATAATAAGAGAGTGAAATAATAAATAACCTTGACTCAAATATAAGCCGAGGGGGGCTTTTCAGCCTAAAAAAGGGCTGAAAACTCAGCTTATACTCGAGTATATACGGTATATCCTTCTCACCAAAGTGGATCCACATTTATGCTGATGAGGATGGGAGTTGCGCCAGAAAACATGGGGGAAAACATCAGAACCAAATAGGTCCCATGAGTAAGGAGGAAAAAAAAGACAAGGTTAGGATAAATCAGTGGAGCATGTGGAGAAATTTTTCATATATCATTTTAACATAATAATAATAATAACAATAATAATAATAATAATTGAAGTAATTATTTGAAGTACTAAATATAGAACATTAAATGTATTGGTTTTTTTCTCCTTTAAATACTGACTAAATGTTTTGTCTTTGTTTTCTTTGTTTTCAGTTGAATATAGCCCAAGTCCCAGCCCTCTTATCACGGTGACGCATAAGCCAGAGGAAGACACGTTTGGGGTAAGACTCTTAGCACAGTTGGTGGGCAAAGGGGAGTTTTACTATTTACCATCATGGCTCTTGGCTTCATACCTAAGAGTCCCTTCTTTGATATCCTTTTTGATCGAATGCTGCTGTTTCTTTGTTGTTGTTCATTCGTTCAGTCGTCTCCGACTCTTTGTGACCTCATGGACCAGTCCACGCCAGAGCTCCCTGTCGGCCGTCACCACCCCCAGGGTCTCCTTCAAGGTCAGTCCAGTCACTTCAAGGATGCCATCCATCCATCTTGCCCTTGGTCGGCCCCTCTTCCTTTTGCCTTCCACTTTCCCCAGCTGTTTCTTTACTATGTGCTTTTTGCAAAATGCCTGGCACAGTTTTGAAAGATAAGGTCATAGGCATAAGTTTGGAGATCTGCAAAATCCACCTAGTCCAGAAACTTGCAGGAATTCAGTCCCTAAAGATGGGGATCCTTCTGTTTAATTCCTCTCAAGGAGGAGAACCCATTTCTTCTGAGGTTTGTTTGACTGCTGAATCCTTCTTACGGGCAAGAAATTATTATTTCCAAGCTTCTATATACTTTCTTGTCTTGACATTTGAATCCAATGGTTCATGTTTTGGTGTGCAGAGCAGAAGAAAGCAACTATCTTGTATTTAAAGGAATTTAAAGATGGAGGGAAGGAGACTAGAGACAAAGTGGAAGTCCTTTGAATGCCACATCATGAGGAGACAGCAAAGCCTAGAGAAGGGGATGATGCTGGGGAAAGTGGAAGGCAAAAGGAAGAGGGGCCGACCAAGGGCAAGATGGATGGATGGCATCCTTGAAGTGACTGGACTGACCTTGAAGGAGCTGGGGGTGGTGACGGCCGACAGGGAGCTCTGGTGTGGGCTGGTCCAGGAGGTCACGAAGAGTCGGAGACGACTGAACGTATGAACAAAATCCTATCACTTCTCAGTTTTCTCTTCTGCAACAAAAATATAGCCAGCTCCTTAAGTCATAGCGCTCAGTTTCCAGATCTTTTACTATCTTGGTTGCCCCCTCCTCAACCCATTTTGCTTTGCCAATATATTTTTGAACTTATCTATAAACGGTAAAGGTTTTCCCCTGACATTATGTCCAGTTGTGTCCGACTCTGGGGTGTGGTGCTCATCTCCATTTCTAAACTGAAGAGCTGGTGTTGTCCGTAGACACCTCCAAGGTCATGTGGCTAGCCTGACTGCATGGAGTGCCGTTACCTTCCCGCCAGAGTGTTACCTAATGATCTACTCACATTTATTATTATTTAGAGTTTTTCTACCCGGTCTTCTTGACCTCTGAGGAGGGACTCAGGCCGGCTAACAACATGGGATTCAATACAATAAGAAAAGCATTATAAATAATTAATATAAAATACATTAAAATACAATTCATACAAGTTACAGCAAAAATCAGTTCGTCAGAATGAATCGCAAATTCATCGTCATCCGTCAGAAAGGTCAGCAGTTATTGACTCTGTCATCACTCTGCGAATGCAGTATCCCAAAGCCATGTCTTTACCAGCTTTCTAAAAGTCAGGAGGGAAGAGGCAGATCTAATCTCCATCAGGAGGGAGTTCCAAAGCCGAGGGGCCACCACCGAGAAGGCCCTGTCCCTTGTCCCCACCAAACGCGATTGCGAAGGCGGTGGGACCAAGAGCAGGGCCCCTCCAGAAGATCTTAACAACCTTGATGGTTCATAGGGGAGAATCCATTCGGACAGGTAAATGGGGCCAGAGCTGTTTAGGGATTTATAGATCAACACCCTCACTTTGCATGTTTTCGAACTGCTAGGTTGGCAGAAGCTCACGCTGCTCCCCGGATTCGAAACTTCAACCTTTCAGTCAACAAGCTTAGCAGCTCAGTGATTTAACCCAATGCACAACTGGGGGCTCTTATCTATAATTAATTATAATTACTTATAATTACTTATCTATAATTACTCATTAATGTTGGTGCCCAGAGGTGGACACACTAGTCCAGGTAGCTCTGACCAAAGTAGTATGGTACTATTGTTTTCCTCAGTCTGAAAACTATACTGCTGTTGATACAGCCTGGAATTTGCATTGGTGTTTTACAGCTGCCACATCACATCGTTGACTCGTTTTTAGCTTGTAGTCGTCCAAAAGCCATGGATCCTTTTGATATTTACTGCTTTCCTTCAGCGGCTTAACCCTTTGCAAAAACAAACCAAAACAGTTGCAGTGAGAGATTTAGCATTACATCATAATAGAGAAAAAAATCAACTGAAAATCCGGTTTCTGCCTCCTGCAGAATTCTGGGGTTTGTAGTTCAGGGAGGAACCTTTAACAGCCTCACTAAACTACAAATCCCACAATTCTGCAGGAGGCAGAAATCGGATTTTAAGTAGTCTTTTTCTCTAGTGTTGTGCTGTCACGCGCTGGGCCTTATGAAAGAGTCTGTAGACAGGACGTGTTTCCTGAATGCCCAACGGGATGCCAGGGGTGCCTCGGCTGAAAGGCCTTTCGGATTTCCCCACACAAAGTTCTTTTAAAGACTTAGAAAATTTTGAATTGTTTTGAACAAGTTTTTATTGTTGCTTAAATCTTCAATAAGTCAAACAAATACTTCAAATCTTTGAATCAACTGGTGGCTTGCTTAAATCTTGTCCACAAGGGACAGGCAACTTTCTTCATAAACTGTTTCTTCCTCCTACAAGGGAAATCCTTGACCACTCCCTGGGCAATCTGACTTAAGCTCTGCTGGTGTGGTTATCTACACCCGGTCCAAATTGTGTTATGGCTGCCGCGAGTGGTCCTTACCAAACAGAGTCCTTTCAGAGATCTCCAAGAGGAAAGAAGGCTTTCAATTCCCAGTGAAGGCTGGCTGTAGAGTTGTGGAACTAAATTCCCCAACAAGGGCTATGCTGTAGTTCTCTGTAGAGCTATGGGACTGGATCCCCCCAGCAAAGCTGTAAAAGGCGAAGCTTTCTACAGGTGGAACTGATTCATGTCCTGTACGAAAGGCTTCTCTGTGTGAACTGAACTAGAGGTCCCCTTTTCCCCTCCTTAACCCAGAAAAAGGGGCGGAACTAAAGAACATAATGATAATTGATGGGTCATTGGCCCTATGATTGCAAACCAAGGGAAGCCACCTTATTGCAAAATGCATGGAACTCTGGAATACATACAAACACTCAATAGGAAGGAAAAGAAGTTGGAACTCCTGGTACAGCCGTACCAGCACAAGTGTGATGACACAATTAGGCTGGAGTATAAGAGCCAGTGATGTAATGGTTGGACTTTGACTCTGGAGACTAGGACATTTGTATCCCCACTTGGCCATGGAAGCCCACTGGGTGAACTTGAGCAAACTGCACTCTCTCAGCCTCAAAAGTAGGCAAAACCAACTCCTTCCAAGCAGATCTTGTTGAGAAAACCCCTGGGATGGGTTCACTGAAGGCATGAAGCAGTAACTATTTTCTAGAGTATATATTTTTTTATTGTCAAAAAATATATACTCCTATCCAAAATTGCTCCTATCCAAAATTGTCAAATCACTGTATTTCCATACAACATGAGCACTGTACATTCATAAAATATAAAACATGGAGTGTAAACAAGTGAATCAGACACAAACACATTTGTCAAAATACAAGAAACAGATGGAGAGTTGGATTAAGTAGGAAAGGCTTCTTTAGATAAATATGCTGTTAAACATTTTTTAAAACATGATTTGAGATGCTTGGCAAAGCATAATGTACCTTGCAATGTGTGGCAGGGTAGGAAAAACCCTGACGTGCACAGGTGTGTTTGTGGGTGCAGAATACACAATACCCATTTATCAAGAGCCAGAAACATGGAATATTTAGAATAAGTAGCTGTCAGCATTGCTTTATTGATATATGGAGGGTTCAGCACAATTTCTGTGTAAAAGAAGTGTATATAAAACATGCATAAATTTTGGTTTTAGATTGGCTCCCATCACCAAGTAATCTTACATGTTACGTTTGTGTGTGTGTACAATACACACACACACACATCTACATATATATATATATATATATATACACACATACACATATACATATACATATATATATACACACACACACACACATATACATATACATATATATACACACACACACACACACACATATATGTACACACACATATATATATATGGCTGGTCAAACAATCCAAGCTAAGTATATATATATATATATATATATATATATATATATGTGTGTGTGTGTGTGTGTGTGTGTGTGTGTGTGTGTGTGTGTGTGTGTATGTATGTGTGTGTATATGTATGTGTGTGTGTATATATATATATCGTGTATACACAAACATTTATATGTATATGTATATGTAAGGAGCCCCTGGTTGTGTAGCAGGTTAAACCGCTGAGCTGCTGAACTTGCTGACTGAAAGGTTGATGGTTTGAATCCATGGAATGTGATGAGCTCCCACTGTTAGCTCCAGCTTCTGCCAACCTAGCAATTTGAAAACATGCAAATGGGAGTAGATCAATAGTTACCACTCCGATGGGAAGGTAACAGCACTCCATGCAATTATGCCGGCCACATCGCCTTGGAGGCGTCTACGGACAATGCCAGCTCTTCGACTTAGAAACGGCGATGAGCACCACCCTCAAGAGTTGGACTCAACTAGACTTAATGTCAGAGGAAACCTTTATCTTTATCTTTTATGTATATGTATATGTATATGAATGTATTCCACCCCAACACAAAATCCCAAACATTCTGGTACTTAGCATTCTGGAGAAAGGATACTCAACTTGTATTGTTTGGTCAGCCCTGTATGTGTGTGAAGACACGTGCCAAGTATTGTTCTGTGACAGATAACAAAATGTCTTAGGCCAGTCTTAGACCATCTCTTCAAAAAGCAAGTGCAGAGAGGAAGATGTGCCCACAATGGTAATGTGAAGTACAAATTTTTCAAGGAGAAGAAAACTCCAGATTTTTCAAATGGGACTTGGAGTAATGCTGGATCACATTGCTGCACATTTTGCTTCAATGGTTT